TATGATGAACTGATATTTTGCAAATGAACGATTTACGATATGGTTTTCCTATTTTACTGACTGAGTAACTCTGTAATTTTCGTTAAATACATTCCGGTTGCCTTCACCTGTGTTCTCGTTCACTACACTCGGAGTTCTATTGAGAAGCAGAGACTAGCGGAGTTCACCCCTGTTGGGTGTAGGCGATTACCTATCAGGAAAAAATGGGTGAGGTTGAGCAATATCGTGAACTGATTGAAGTTAGACAATAAAATCTTTAGATTCTTGCTCAGTGGTGCAGAGAGATCTAAAATTTGTGCGAGAGATTGAAGATCCTGGGTTCGGTTCCGATGTATGGGGGGGGTCGTGGATTCGTTCAAATGTTATCATAGTATCAATCGTTTTGAATAATGAATTGTTAGTAAGAATTCAATACAATAAGTTTTATTCTGTATAAAGTTTGCATACAGAATTCAAATTTGAAAAAGTATTAAAGATATAAGTGAATAAATAATATTGTTGTTTCACCAATTAGATTGTCTTCATCAGGCTTTACTCTCTAATAGACATAAATGTTATTACACATTTGAAATTATCCAATCAGTCGTTGTTAGACCACCATCATTAGAAACCTCGAAGCACTGAAAGACGGCCGTTTCGTCCTGGTATGGGACTACTCATCATTGGCTGTGCGCATCTTTGACTCACGCACCTTGCAGGATTCGAACCCGGGACCTTTGGTATTGTGCGCGAACGCCTAACCTTTGAACCGCTGGGCCAGCATCCAACAGTGTTCTTGTTTAATTCTGATTGATCTAGGGATTTTACGTGACCTCATCCATTTGTCTTTGGTAGTTACTGCCTGCATGTGACAGGGATGAACTCCACTAGTCACGTCTTCTAACAATGATTCATTGATGATTTCAAATGTGTAAAAAACGCTAATCTCCATAACTCTAATTGAAAATGAATATTATTAAATGGAAAATATTGCATCAAATCAAGGCAGTTTATTATGAGTCAATAATCACAACCGCATTACTTACTTACTTACGCCTGTTACCCACAATGGAGCATAGGCTGCCCACCAGCAGCATTCTCCAACCAACTCTGTCCTGGGCTTCTCTCTCCAGTTCTGTCCAATGTTTGTTCATTCTTCTCATATCTTTCTCTATTTCTCGGCGTAATGTATTCTTTGGCCTTCCTCTTTTACTTTTGCCTTGACGGTTCCATGTGAGGACTTGTCTCGTGATGCAGTTAGGTGCTTTTCGTAGTGTGTGTCCTATCCACTTCCACCGCTTCTTCATGATTTCCTCCTCCACTAATATCTGGTTTGCTCTCTCTCGCAGTTCGTTGTTGCTGATGGTGTCTGGCCAACGAATCCGAAGTATTTTGTGTAGACAGCTGTCAATAAACACTTATATTTTCTGAATGATGGTTTTGGTAGTTCTACATGTTTCCATTCCATACAGTAGAACTGTCTTGACATTTGTATTGAAAATCCTGATTTTGGTTTTGTTTGAAAGTTGTTTCGAGTTGCAGATATTTTTCAACTGTAGAAATGCAGCCCTTGCTTTGCCAATCCGTGCCCTCACATCTGCATCTGATCCACCTTGATTGTCGATGATGCTGCCCAGATATGTAACCGCATACCTAATACTAATTCCACTGTTGAACTAGTGACACCGGCTTTCCTACTATCAACTTTTACGTTTAGTAGACTAAAAACATTATGTTGATGTTCAAAGGCCATGAAGAAGACTTGACAGTTCTAATAGGAGAGACTCAAACTCCATGTTTAGAATTCACAACACTGGATTCAAAGACATTATGGAATGACATCGAATTGAAGATAAGAACGAAAATGGTGAGAGATTTGTGAATCTAATTGCCTTCAACAAAATGGTCATCGGCGGCACAGAACTAAATCGACCATGAAAAGACGTGAGAAACAAGAGAGGAGCTTACACAGCTTCAGATCATCACTTGTTAGTGATTGAGATGAAAGTTAAGTCAAAGATGCGCTGTAAAACTGGTCGAATAGCATCACAAAGTGTGATAGTGAAAAACTCAGTGAATTCAAGGTAGCTCTTATTAATAAGTTCCAAGACTTTCACGATCTACTCAATGGAGAGGAAATCATCACAGAGAACAACTGGACAGGGATTAAAGAAACAATAACTTCAGCATATTGTAGTGCCTCCATATATATTCGAGTTCTCTTACATTTAATTTGATTAAGCCCTTTCGATTAATTTTATTTAACCAAGCCATTTGTATTGCAACCATTTATATGTACCATTCGTTCTTATTATTATCTGGTTTGTATGAGCTCACATGACGTGTCCCATTTGTCATTTGACCTTGTCAATCATTCGTCGCTTTTATTCATGTGTGCCTACTTCGCTTGTCTGTCTTATATTTGCCTGACTATATATTCTTAGTCATGCTCTATCTCTAGGAGTTGGCTCATTAGCCTTCTCCAACGCGCTTCGCCTGTTCATTCGCTTCCTTCGCCCATTCGTTCGCATTGTAATCCAAGGAGTTGGCTCATTAGCCTTCTCCAACGCGCTTCGCCTGTTCATTCACACATTCGCACGTTCGCTCGCTAGTGTGCCTGCCCGGTCTGCTTGTGGTCTGCTATCCCATTTTGTGGTTTGCCAAATTAAACGTATTCAACACTTCTAGTTCACCTTCTGATTTATTAACCGTCAGACGCTATTTAGTAACGATTGTCTGGACGAACTAATTACGAAGATTAATAACACGCTGATATCGGCCACCATAATTTCATGAGGTAAAGGGCCACAAGAACTGCTATCACAGGGAATGAATCTCAGTGGATACGCTGGATAAGATTGACGAGAGGAAGGCAGAAATCAATATCATTGGTCAAGGTGAATTGTACACATTTTATATACGTCTAATTACTGCTGACATCTAAGAGCAATGATTTCCAGTGTAGAATTATGTTGAAAGAAAGCTAGGTATGATCGAACCGAAACATAGCACTATTTCATGTTATTCTGAGAGATTTAGGAAGGAATGGACTGTATGACAACAGTGTTCCGTGATTTGATATGTTCAAACTGTTCACAATAGCGCAGATCCACAGATTATTTAATTTACTCTGAATTTTTGATTTCCACTAATTCTTCATATGTATCTATTCATTCTCAATACTTCGTTTTCATTTTGAAAGTTTCGTGTCATTCAGCTAATTTATACTTATGAGGTAAGTTAATGCACACTTATTCCAGTTCCTACGTCAGGCAGTCAGTCAATTAGTTAAAACGTAGAACTTCGTACGTACGTACGTACATCAGTTCAAGTCATCATACCACATTTGCACAGAGACACAATTGTCAATTCAAATCCCATAGTAGTAGAAGTAGTAGAAGTTTTAGCAATAATTCTTGAGATTAGAGTTCGAAGATATTATTTAAGAAGTAGGATCTAGTCAAATAAACTTAAAAAGAAAAAGATAAAGGTAACAAGGAATTCGAAAGGTTAGGATTTGACAGAACACAACGAATGAATGCACCTGAGCCATTGCAAACGATTTTGAGCCATGTCATTCAAGATCTCTAACCATTATTAGCTCCTATGTTGATTACAGTCAAGTGATGTACTGGGGACTGCTAACTCCATCATCGATTCTCCTGCTGTACCAGGGTTAAGGGACGGCAGTAAACACGAAAACGATATAGGCAGAGTATCTGTAAATAACTTTCTACACACAATACGTCGAATACAATGGCTAGACACCATCATTAACAACCTGCACTGTAGGAGAGGAGAAATCAGCTTCCTAACTGAGGAATAAATTACTTTGAAAAATGTTGGAAGTGAATAGAATACACATTAAGGAAATCGTCAAACTTCGCAACAAGACAACAACTCTTCGTATCGAGTCCTCGGAGCAAAAAAGCACGAAGGAAGACCAAGGAGTACAATGAGCCGACAATTAGAAGCATTTAGGAACAACTAGGACTCTTCTGTCGCACACGCAACAACAAATGCAAGAGAAGACGATCAGTGTAGCAGCAGCCTCTGCAGCAGTAGGTCGCAACATACATAAAGGAAAAAGCGAAGTTCTCCGATGCAACACAACATGCACCAACCAAATCACTCTTGATGGAGATGCTTTCGAGGACATTAACACCTTTACATATCTGGACAGCATCATCGACGAGAAAGGTGGATCCGATGCAGATGTGAGAGCGCGGATTGGCAAAGCAGGAGCTGCATTTCTACAGTTGAAAAATATCTGGAACTCCAAACAACTTTCAACCAAAATCAGTTTCTGCAGCCTCCAAATCTGCTATGGATGGTCTACAGGAAGAAAAAACAGTTGATATCGAAAATTAAGGTAAACTATTTTTTAAAGAAAAATATCTGGAACTCCAAACAGATATCAATCAACACCAAAATAAGGATTTTCAATACAAATGTCAAGACAGTTCTACTGTATGGAGCGGAAACATGGAGAACTACCAAAGCCATCATCCAGAGGATGAAAGTGTTTATTAACAGTTGTCGACGCAAAATACTTCGGATTCGTTGGCTAGACACCATCAGCAACAACGAACTGTGGGAGAGAACAAAGCAGATTCCTTCAGTGGAGGAGGAAATGAGGAAGAAGTGGTGGATGTGGATAGGACACACACTACGAAAAGCACCTAACTGCGTCACGAGACAAGCCCTCACATGGAACCCTCAAGGCAAAAGGAAAAGAGGAAGGTCAAAGAACACATTACGCCGAGAAATAGAGAAAGATATGAGAGGAATGAACAAATTATTGGACAGAACTGGAGAAGGAAGCCCAGGAGAGAGTTGGTTGGAGAAAACTGGTAGTCGGTCTATGCTCCGTTGAGGGTAACAGGCGAAAGTAAGTAAGTAAGTAAGGAATGATTAAATCTACTGACATATTGATATATAAATCTATTCATAACACAAGTAAATAAATTTCACTTATCGTTTATACATTGAGGAGAAAAAAAATATATAATATTACTTACACTTTAAATATTCTCTATAATTTGGTGCTTTTAAACGTTGTAAATTTGTTGAAGGATCCATCCATTTATCACAACCTCCCGGTGGTAATAATAAACAATCTTCTTGCATTAATAATGATGATTTACGTTGTGATGGTGTAAATTGTAAATGCAGTTTATTTAAATTTTGATTAGTAAAATATTCCACTGATCGTTTTGCGTTCAATGTTAAATATTCACTTGGATTGTTGAACAATACATCCTTGTTCGCATTCACTTGACGTGGTAAACGATGACTCATCAATTGATTGTTATATTTTGATTTCAAATTGAAATATTTATGAAATCCATGATGACCACCATCTTCCAACAGAAATGATTTAGGCGATGATGGCATAGAATTCATGTAATTTGGATAACGAATATATCGTTTTGAATGAAAAGGGTTATTATTATCATAAGTGTTATAACTTGTCAATGATTGAATTGGCGCCTCAGTTGTTTGATAATAATGGTTGTTGGTGTTGGTGTTCGCTTCATAAATCCATCGTTTTTGTGATGTTTGAATGGGATTGTTTGAACAAATCGATGGGATATTGATAAAAGATGATTGTGGAGTATTACGTAATTGTCCACACACCGAAAGTAGTGATAGACAAGATGATTGACATGGAATATCATGGATCTGGTTAGAGATGACAAAGTTGACAAAAGAAAGAGAAAAGAGAGGACAGATGATAAAGATGACCGAATTGTATTTGTGATCATTGAAAATTGTAAAACTTGAATAGGAAAACCATAAAAAACTGAACATGTCAATCAGGAACTACATTGATATTTGTACAACGTTAAAACTGAAGAAAGAAAATTGGGTAGTAGAGAAGATTTTATTGATTATTGATAGGTAACCACCATTAACCGTAATTACCACACTTGTACAGATTTTATTGGGATTTGATGTTTTGATACTGTTTTGGATATGAAATCATACACATCTAGCTCTTCGAACCTACATAGAACAGAGATACACTTCTAGACGAATGTTCATTGTGGAGGAAGGACTAAATAACGTATTTTCTTCTAGCATTTAAATCTGTATGAACTCTGCCTAGAGCTAGCTGTTCAATGGTTTCTGTCTGTCTTAAGTCTGGATAAAGGAGAATCATTGAGAATAGGATTAGTGAACCCATTCTGTAGAAAATTAACTTGCTAAAAAAAATCGGTAATTGAGAAAAAAAATTATTCAAACCATTTGAACTCTACCCTGGGAGTTGGGTCTTTTTATGCTTGTTGGCGGCCTATATTCCGTTCCAGATAAGATGTATACATGCATGGCCACTTCGTCCTGTTATATGACTTAACAGTCAGTGGCAGTGTGCATTCACGACTGCTTCAAGTAGCAGGATTTGAACGCATGAACTTCAACCTTGAGCGCGGACGCCTAACGCTGTGGACCGATGAGCCGGCATCTGACCAAGATTATGTTTGTTCAGTCCCATACAGGGACGAAATGACCATCTTTCAGTGCTTTCTAATAGAGTGGTCTAACATTGATTGATTCATGATTTCAACAAAGTAACTGAACATTTTCCATAAGCACACAAATCGCGTTCATTTATACATCATTGTAACGTCCTTGGGAGAGTCACAAAAATTAGCATACTAAAATAACACAGCAACTAATCACAGCCTCAAGGAATTTCCTGGTGGGAAATGTGATCTCAAGGTCAACTGATCAGCCCATGAATAAAATCCAAAATTAAGACATTTATCAAGCGAGTCCTGGGGATCTAACGGCCCCAACAACTTTTAAATAAAAAGGTGTGGATTTTGCTTACTTCGTTAGTAAATTTGGAGTAAAAATAACTGTATTTGAAATTATAAAATCAATTATTATTAACTTTAGTCTAATTTTATATTCGTTTTTTTTCAGTATGTAAGAGGTCTTATTAGATACAAGTATTTATGAACAGTTGTCTAAGCAAAATACTTCAGATTCGTTGACCAGACACTATCAGTAACAGCCTACTGTGGGAGAGAACAAACTAGATTACAGTGGAGGAGTGAAGCAGGAAGAAGCGCCGGAAGTATATAGTAGCACCTAACTGCGTCACGAGACAAGCCCTCACATGGAACCCCCAAAGCCATAACGAAAAGAGGAAAACCAAGCAACACATTACCCCAAGAAATGGAGACGAACATGAGTAGAATGAAAAAAAATTAGACAGTAATGGAAACGGAGGCATAGGACAGAGTAGGTTGGAGAATACTGCTAGGCCGTCTATACTCCATCGGGGGTAACAGGCGTAAGTGCATAAGTAAGTAAGTAAGTAAGTGCATAAGTAAGTGCATAAGTAAGTAAGTAAGTAAGTAAGTAAGTAAGTAAGTAAGTAAGTAAGTAAGTAAGTAAGTAAGTAAGTAAGTAAGTAAGTAAGTAAGTAAGTAAGTAAGTAAGTGCATACGTAAGTAAGTAAGAGGTCTTATTCAATTAGTTATTGTCAAATTGTGCATAGTTAATACAATGATCGAAATTCAATAAAACATTTATATTTTAATTGTTTTACTGATTATTTTCATTACCGACTTGTGAAGTCTGTAGGGTTTTACTGAAACCCATGAACTGTGCTCACTAGTAGCTAGTTTCGGGTGGAAATTCTCGGAGTCTTAGTGAAAAGCCGTGACCAGTGGAGTTCATTCTTGTAGAGTGTGAAGGGAGTTACCCCTTCTAAGCAAAATGAGTGTGGTTGTGCAATCACTTGGATTGATCACGATCAGACATATTAACACCGTCGGCTCATCGGCCTAGAGGTTAGGCATTAGCATGCCAGACCGAAAGTTCTAGGTCGGATTCCCGTGTTTGGTGGGTAGTGGATGCCCAACTCCTGATGAGTCTCAGACTAATACGAAATGGCCTTTCAGTGCTTCCAAATTTCAAATGCAGATCTAACAAAGATCACTTCTGAGGCACAATTTTGGAGGTTTGCTTTTTTTACACATTTGAAATCATCAATCAATCATTGTTAGGCCACCATTAGAAATCTGGAAGCACTGAAAGACGGCCGTTTCGTCCTGGTATGGGACTACTCAGCAGTGCTTATCCACGACTCCTGCAGGATTCGAACCCGGGACCTTTGGCATTGTAGGCGAACGCCTTACCATCGGACTAGCTTCGTGAAGAAATTCTCGGAGTTCTAGTTGAGAATACGTGACCAGTGGAGTTGGAGTTCAACCCTGTCGGGTGTAGGCAGTAACTACCAAAGACAAATGGGTGAGGTCGCAAAAAATGCCTAGATCAATCAGAGTTAGACATTAACACCGTTGGATGCCGGCCCAGTGGTCCGATGGTAATGCGTTCGCCTACAATGCCAAAGGTCCCGGGTTCGAACCATGCGAGGTGCAGGAGTCGTGGATGCGCACTGCTGATGAGTCCCATACTAGGACGAAACGGCCGTCCAGTGCTTCCAGGTTTCTAATGTTGGTCTAACAATGATTGATTGACGATTTCTAATGTGTAAGAAGATCACTTTTTAAATTACTAATTGTACCATGAGTCTAATTCTCTTCATGATCATTCTTTTTTCCTAATCAGCCCCATACCATTTCATATATTGATTATCTGACTAAGTTTAACTTAAATAAATGTAATGAGTTTAAAATCATTTAGAAAGAATTTGTAAACAACATTTTGCTGCCACTAAGCAGTGTTAAGATTATCCTTTATGTATACAAAGTCAGAATAAAATCAATATTTTCATTAGGAATCACGAATCGATCGATTTAAAACATGATTAGAAAACTAATATGGGACTGATCAGCTGTGTGCAAACACGACGCCTAGCGCACACGGGGTATCGAACCAAGGACTTTTAGTCTTGCGCAAGAACTCTTCAGCGCTGTGAGTAGTCATCCAACGGTGTTAATCGTTAATTTGGATCAATCTAAGAAGGTGTTGCGCTACCTAACTAACACATTCTCTTCGATGGGCACTGTTTCAAACTTGGCAGCGTTGAACTTCAATGGTGACAGCTTATTAGCTAGAACTGCGATTATTTTCTCACAGCGCTGGTCACTAATGAGTAAGTAGTACATAATAATTTTTCATTATAGAGTTGTGAAGAGTGTTGAGTTTAGTTGAACGAAAAACAAAGAAATTTTCAGTCCTTAATATATATATATTGAAAATATTCTTATCTTGAATTTATTAATCATTCTACAAATGTTTGAGAGTTTTACTGTCATATTTTTATTCAATAATCTTATGTTAACTGAAACTAACTAACTAACTACTTTTTCTGATAATCATAAACTATACTTGAACTTTCAATAAGTATTTCTAAATGATTTTTTTATTAGTGAATACAATCACATTGGTTTTATTCAATGTTCAATGTGGTTGCTTTAAATGATAACGAATATATAGAGATCTGATTTGAAATTGTAAGATTGTATCGTATAGTCAGTCTGATAGCTTATGATATAAAAAGCTATAAGCATCATTGAATAGATCAAACTAAAAAAAATGGTTAAGAGAAACAAACGTAGGAGCCAATTTCCAGATCATTATAGCCAATACTTATATGTTAAGAAAGAAAATATATTTGCTACTACTACTGCTGTAGTGAAGGAGAACACAAGTGAAGGCAACCGGAATGTATTTAACGAAAATTACTGAGTTACTCAGTAAAATCGGAAAAACCATATCGTAAATCGGTAATTTGCAAAATATCAGTTCATCATCATATCGAACTGGACTGTTCCTGTTGCAAACAACATCAATCCATTGTCACTCAATATTCATGCGTTTCATACAAAGTCCATTGTGTTCTTCTAACTCTTCCTTTCTTGATCTTCCCCCATCTTCGGATGGCAGACATTACGTTGACACTGACGTCATATACTACTTATAAGTAGCTCGCACCACACTACTACTACTACTACTACCACTACTACTACTACTACTCACACTACTACTACTATTACTGTGGCGTGAGCTACTTATAAGTAGTATATAACGTGAGTGTCAACGTAAAGTCTGGTAGCATAATACGGGGGGAAGATCAAGAAAGGAAGAGTTAGAAAACAATGGAATTTGTATGAAACGCATGAATAGTGACAATCGATTGATGTTTTGCAACAGGAACAGTCCAGTTCGATATGATGGACTGATATTTTGCAAATGAACGATTTACGATATGGATTTCCAATTTTACTGAGTAACTCTGTAATTTTCGTTAAATGCAGTTCGGTTGCCCCACCTGTGTTCTCGTTCACTACACTACTACTACTGCTACTACTACTACTACTCCGACTACTCCGACTACTACTACTACTACTATTGCTACTTTTTTACGTTTACTCACTTGCGTCTGATACCCTTATGGAGCCAACGACCAGCATTCTCTGATCTACTCCTTCCTGAACCTTTCTTTTTGTAGTTTTAACTCATTCTTCTGGTTCCAACTTCCAACGCAATATGTTCTTTGGTTTAATGTATGAGTCCTATGTACTTTCAGCGCTTCTTCCTGATTTTTTCCTAAGTTGGAATCTGGTTTGTTCAGTCCCACAGTAGATTGTTGCTAGTAGTATTTGGCCAACGAATCCCCAGTATCTCGCAAAGACAACTGTTAATAAACACTTGTATCTTCTAGATGATGGCTTTGGTAGTTCTCTAAGTTTCCGCCTCATACAACAGAATTGTTTTGATATTTGTATTGCGAATTCTGATTTTGGTGTTGGTTGAAATAGAGTTATTCTGAGTTCCAGATGTTGATCAACTTTAGAAATGCTCCCCTTGCTTTGTCAATCCACTGTTTTATATCTGTACCAGATGCAACATGGTTATCAATGATGTTGTCCAAACGTGTAAACGTTTCTACATTCTCCAAAGCTTCAGTGTCAAATGTGAATCGTTTTGGTACATATATCGTCGGATAGATCGAAGGATCTTGCTTGTTCACTTCTGCATGTTAAGATCTTCTGCTACAGAGGTTGCTGTTACATTGGTCATCTTTTTTCCTGCATTTGTTATCGTGTGTGTGTGTATGCGGGATAAGAGAGCTAGATCATTTGCATTATATTAGTATTCAATCAATATTTTGCCCATGTCTTGACTAACCCTGAATAATAATACATTCGGTATACACTCATATCATCAATAAAATACTTACAGTTTTTTTTTTCATTTTCACTCATTTTAATCTTAGATAAACAAAATAAGGGGCTATTCAATGTTGAAGAATGAATCAACTCGTAGTAGTACACTAAGTACACCAATAAACAACTCATTTGTATGTATGTGATCTACTTGGCGCCATTTTATTATCATATTTCGATTAGAGTGAAAAGTATTCACTTCTATTTGTTTTGATGCATACAAATATTCATCGGTTACAATGGAAAAATATTAACTCTGGGCTGTTTTATAGACAGAATTATTATTATTATTATTATTTATTTAAGTAATATTCATAATTGTAAATATTTATTTGATAATTATTTACTAAACTGTTTTACATTGTCTGTTATCATTGTTAATTGATCATGTCACTTATTATTTATGTATTGGTATAACTGAACATTGAATGAAAAAGATAAGCAATTATCGTGGTAAATTAACCAATGTGAAAATGATTCATGATTATAATAATAATAATTATTATTATTAATATTATTATCAATGGTCGATGCAACTATAGATAATTATTGTATACTAGAGTTATTATATTCAACTGCACCTGGAGCTGTTCCAGTCCCAAGTCGAGATAAATGGAGAAGGGTTGTGAATGGGTTTAACCCAACTTGCTTGAAGAAAAACGTTAACTAGAACAATAATTCACTGGTCGGAGGCCTATGCTCCATTA